GAAGGCAATTTGCAACGCAAAGTAATAAAATCACGCATAAAATCCACTTACGTGTCTCCGTCTTCAGTGACCGCGGTCCTCCACGGCTCGTAGTCCTCGCAGCCGGGTTCCGTGGAGCAAACAGTCATGTCCTCGAAGTCCTTGGACAGGACGTCCTCCTCTTTTAACGAGTCCACGCCGCTGTCCAAGCGGTCCTCGAAGCAGGGTAGGCCTTTCCCGTGCTTGGCCTCCATATTGTCCAGGTTATAATCCATTTGTCTTTGGTTTGCTGCTGTGTTTACGTTCATGCTAACTTAGCTAACGCGCTACCGTCTGTAAATGGCGAAACTGTGCTGCTGAGGGGAGGCGCGCGGGCTTATATATGGCTGTGGGCGGGGCCTAAGCGGGGATTTCCAATTGACTAGAAACAGCCAGGGAAACCACACGGAGGCTCTGTGCTTTTGAGAGAAAAATCCCCCCCACTCTCCAACGGACACTCAGAATGAAAACCTGTAGTTTCCTATTAGACACCTATTTTCACCTGTACTGTGTGCAGCTCGGAGGACGCATGTCACCGGTGATTTCAGTGAATGAGACACGATAGGCATGAATGAGATGCAGGCAGCCCCTGAATGCCTCATGAAGATTCCCTTCTTGCTCTGGGGGAAATTATCAGCCTCAAGGCGGCTGACCAAAACGCAGCACTGCGAATTTTTCCGTCCTGTCACCTTTGACCAAATTAAAAGTCGATTTTGACAAGTTTCCAGCATTTCAAAAGTCACTCTAGCACTTCTGTGGAAATTTCCTGAGCAGTTAATATCTTACCTGCTGAGGATGGCTCTTTAAACGCCTCTGTATTTGCTAAATAAAGGCTGGTTTAAATATGCAGCCAAGACCAAAGTAAAGTGCTGATGTCTTAAAACAATCATTTCAATTTGTTAATTTATTAAACACATGTTCAGAAACGTTTATGGACATTTGCAAGCATAAATAGCAGCAAAATGATCTACCTATATTTTGTCGTGAACATGTTAATGTGCAAAATTCACTATGTACATTGGAATAGATGGTGATTTAAATACCAGTGTTTGCATGAACCACTATGAAGTTCCTGTGTAGAAGGCAAAGTGGGTTTTAGAAGCGGTTTGGACTGCACAGTACTGGCAAAGTGTTTTCAATAGGTGGGCGTCATTAGACTGTAATGGACTGTTCCATCCCTAATGGCTAAGCACACGTCTGTTTTCTGTTTCATTTGGATAGTTTCCACTCAAAACTACAAAATGCACGAGTCTTATAAGAAGCACATCTGGTTTTGTAAGATTTGCATGTTTTTAAATGAATATTTCACAGGAAAATCAGATTGTTTTTACATTATGCATTTGTATGCTTGCAGTTACAAACGTAATGTATTACTTGTTGTCTTCCTCTAGCATCTGTTTGGTCTTTTATGCCAAATTCTGCAAAATGCACCGTCACGTTTAGAGCATCTTTTACACAATTACTGTTATAGAAAGGATTATTAGGACAAAAAGTCCTTACAAGTGTGTCTGCATGTTTAAACCACACGTTCACGTGTCAGAATTGTGCAGAAATTTTCACCCAGTGTGTTCAGGGAACAGACAGAGGAAGGAGTTTCACACTTTTCGTAATGCCGGTTCATTCTACACAGCTATGCAGCATCCTTTGTGCAAATGAAAGAGGAGGAAATATTCTGAAGTTTCCTCATAAAGGTCAAACGGCGCATGCCACCACACAGAATTGGACATCTAATTGTGCACCTGCTTCAGATTGTTTGAAGTAAGTAAGGTTCCTCTGAGAAGTTCATGACAACTAAACACTGTACCTGTTTTAGGTAGCTCCATGAGCGACCTCAGTTTGAAGCAGACTGAGGCGCTAACGGTTCATTACTGACATCATAGAGCGACTTCGATCGAAGAAGTTTTATAGTGACACTGTTTTATGCTTTACATTGTGCTGAGTTCTGCATTACATGATTATCCCTGCAGAAATATTTATTTTATCAGTGCTTAATGCAGCACCAAGCTGCACCACATGCAGCTAGCTGCTGCTATTTGGACCGGCACATAACCACACAGTTCTGTGTAAATAAAAAATAGTAAAGTGACAACTATGTAAATGTTTAGAAGAGATATGTTCACATGAATTGCTATAAAATTTTGGAGATTAAAGTTGTTTAAAGACGTCAGCCATCTACTTTAGCCGTCACCTCGGTCCAGCTAGCCATTAGCTTGTCCATCAATAGAAACGCTACAGTGCCTTAAGTCAGCAATTTTCTTGTACGGTTTGAATTTTGATTGAGATTTTTCATCACCATATGGCGCCCTAGTCACTCGTCACAACGTTCAGCAAAAGTACACGAGTCGTGCACTACATTTGTGAAAATGGACCATAACACATTGCAATCTGAGCTGGCACGCCACGCTAATCCAGGCTAACGCTAACAACTTCTACTGTGATTTACAGACTTCTATATTTAAACAGTTTAAGTTTTATATAGGAAACGTGTTAAAGATACGTCATAAATCACAAAATAAAGTGAGACGTATTTCGACTTTATTCGTTTTTTAAATTATGAGCACACAAACTACAACTCTATCAACAGTTGTTCTGTACAGAAGTATTTTGCAGGTTCATTTACCGGTAATACACAGTTTTAAGGTGTTTAAATAATATTGTAACAGCAGGAATCTATAAGTGTGTACATTTTTAAAAATGCAACGGAAAATTAAAGAAACGCTTTATCTGTAAATAAATATTTATCAAGTTCAAGTCAACTTTATTGTTGTTTTCATCACGTGTGGTACATGAGGTGGAACAAAATTATGTACACAGGGTCCCAGGTACATCCAAAAATAGCAAAATATAAAGTATATAAAGTAACACTTTACTAATGTAAATAAATATGGCGTAACAACAACAGCCCAAACATGAGACTGTGGTGAGCAGATAGGTATGAATGAATACAGCAGCATGATGTAATCAGCAGCATGAGATCAGCAGCATGGATAAGTCACATATCACAAATTAAAGTGGCATTACAGTGATTTATCTTTTTTTCTTCTTACAGTGATTTTTCTGGTTAAGGATTTATGAGTCTAACAGCTTCAGGGTAGAAGCTGTTCCTAAGTCTAGTGGTTCTACACTTAATGTTTCACAACCTTCTGCCTCATGAAGATTGGTGATGTGTGATACATTTTCTCTGCCAAAACGAGTGAAATTATCATGTCTATAGTGCCTGACGTGAGCGACTAAATGGGTGAACGAATTAATATTAACAGGTAAGATATTAACTGTTCATAACCTTTACACAGAACCCAACTTCCAGGGACTTGAGTGATCCCTTTAAATCTCTTTTGGATGTGAGCGTTTGTATAAATTACAGCTTGGATCCTGGAAAATTATTGATACATTTTATCTAAAAATGTACAACTCAAAAATCTTTATTCGGGAAACAAACACCGTCATTTGGCTTTGTACCCCTTTCTTATGCCACTTTTAACTTTTTGCAAGCACTTTGCTACCATTATTGTTACGATAGCATACAATTACATTTAGTTTATAGCTAGCCTTCTTCTTCTTATAGCTTTAAGCTACTTTCTGTTTATGATAGTATTTTGCTACATTTTTTTTGCTAATGCTGCTTCTTTTAGCTTTCTCCACTCAGTTTTATCTTCTCCTTCAGCAGAGTCATTCATTCATTCAACCTTTATTTATACAGATAAGTCACATTGAGCCTCGAAGACTCATTTATAAGAGAGACCTCGCTCATTTCATTCATTGAGTCATTCAGGACTTGGCATTCATGTTTCACAGAAGATGCTATTTCTATTTTTTCTTGCAGCATTCCTAAGGGAACACCTTGCTGTTGCACAACTTGGTATCACGGTGCGTGAGAGAGCTACCTGTCTGGGCTGCCCTGGCATCTCAGATAAAGCCCTGGGATTACTTTAGTTTGCATTGTGAAAGGTACGGCTCGGTGCAAACATAGCAACAGTATCCAAGGCGAAGCGACAGGTTCACACCTCTGTGGGCCGTAGAAACTGCACCGCACAAACCAAACATGCACACGCCCAGCTGAGCTGTGACTGCACGCTGTGTCTGAGAGCGTGTGACATCAGGCCAACGTCACTCCGTCGAACGCTCGCCGCCCTGCGTGCCTGCTGAATACCAAACATTCCTCTGCCCAGTTTCATAACAAGGCATCTGGGACATTCTGTTCTTGCTGTTCAGTGGGTTTTTTTTTTTTTCTCGTTGCTAAGATGGTCTGTGTTTTTATGTTCTGGTGCTCACCCCACATGGGAACTAATGGAACTTCCACTTTTCTTTGTTATCAAGTATTCGTGTCACCACTTGTCCTGTTTTAACCACAGGGTTGCTATGGAGACCAAGTGCTGAAAGAGCAGAGATGGTTTTGTTATACTGGTCTACTTGTCCTCTGTCTGTATGTTGGCACAGCCTGACCAGTCTGAGTCAGCAAAGTCTCCCTGGGTTCATCACATCCTGCTGGTGCGATGCCAGCACACTCAGCTGATAAGAGTCCAGCTCATGAAACTTTCCCATTGTCTCCAGCATGACACGACCAACCTCAGCTGATCGCAGGCTATAGGGTTTAAAAACAGCACAGCAAAAAATAGCTTTGCTTTTTTTAAAAAGAGAAAAAAAAAATCTTCCTGTCCTCAGTACTAATCATGTGCTACAAGTTGTTCCAATTCCGTTTCAGTTCAGTTTATTCATTTAGCGCCAAGTCACAACAGAAGTTGTCTCAGGGCACTGAACAGAAACATTCAGATATATTAAAAAATAAAAAGATTAGTAAAGTTATCCGTCTAATAGGGGTGTAACAATACATCGATTAAAATCATATATTGATTCAATGATTAATGATTCAATTATATTGTGGCAAAACTAAACATGGATTCATTTAGTCATTTTTAAATACGCTTTTATTTTGAAATTCCCAAGGCAAGTCTTGTGTCACCATTTCCGTGCGCGGCTGCGCTCTGCGGCCGCCTCAGCAACACGGCAGACGAGGCAGAAAACACAGATAATGAACTTCACTCTCCTGCTGGATTTAAATCAACACTGTGGAAATATTTTTGTTTCCAACAGAAGGACGGCTCAACACACAGAACTCATGTCGTATGCAACAGGTGCCAGTGAGAGTTCAAATACTCAGGAAACAACTAATTTGTTCGTTCACCTGAAGAAGAAACACGGCATTGATAGCCATGTTCTGTAAGCTCAATATCTATTTCTGTTTCTTTATAACTGAAAGGTAATCAGGACACTTTTTTTTATGTTAACTGGTTAAAAAAATGCACCTGAACATGAGAAATGTG